GGCTTTCGTGTCAACTCAACAACGCAGTAACTCCATGTCGTCCAAGCTCCGCGCAACGCTGTAGTTTAATTCCGCCTGTTGCGCGCCAATAAACTTGGTTGTCTACAGTTTTTCGACAAACCCGCTAATCTTAAAGTTTGCAAAATAAGGTAACCTTTTACGTCGTAGTCAGGCCATGCTATTCACCGATCTATGACTTGAAATCAGAATGGTTGACCTTTTGACAACAACTGTAAACTCAATATATATCCAGCTTTACTCTAGAAATACATCCTCTGGTTAGAGAAAGTACTTGAGTTTTTGTGAATGTTGGAAGTGTGGCGGGGCTGTTCAGATATTATAAAAATAAGGATATATTTGTACTTTGATCAGAGTCGGGAGGGCCGTCGAACTGGATCAGATGTCAAATGATAGGACTGCTCACTTGAGGAAGCGAAAACCGGTCTGGAATTGGGGAATGGGCATTTGTATTTTGCCATGTGAGTCATATTACATGTCTTTTAGCGGATGAATAGAATTTGAGGTCTTTATTAGGCGCTGCTATCTAACAAAGCATCGCTTGACTACTTTTATGAGGGTAGAATGACTGGTGAAATAGACAGTGTAATGATTCACATATGAAATACAAGTGGGCGATACCGAGCATTCCGGGCGCGGATGGGACTTTGTCAAAATTGCAGACATAATTATAGTCAAGGGGCGATAAATATCGTTTGGTAAAAACATTAACAAGCTTTCTGGACCAACGCTGCACTGGTGATTCCCGATCGAAACATTTATAAGAGTGAATTCACGGAGACGTTTACCAAGAAAGCCATATGTAAAAACTGTAAAAAGAATTGAGCTGCCAAGTGACTTGGTAGGTGGAAACGCCATACGTGAATTGACTTGCTTTACTGTATTGAGCGAATACTAATATATTCCCGATATTTAACAGAGGAGGATCAGACTAAAGTTGATCAACAATTGGAATACGCGTAACGATACAGTATCATGTGTCATCAAAAGTTGGAATCTGTTATGATAAGAAATTCCAACAGACGCGTCCATTACGGTTGCTAATCCACGATGCCGTATGATTTCGCGCGATTGACACATAGTTGCAGACGGTTGATACGTACATCAAATATTAATTAATTGTTATCCTTACATTAGTACACCAATTGTGTTCGGACTCTTGTTTATTGTTGATAATCTCTATAGTTTTATAATAAGATCATCCTTCGACAAACGCCAGGACGTTCTTTTTACGACATTCTCTTTCTGATTAGAAATCTTTCACAGCAAATATTAACACTAAAACGAGTGGTTTCCCAACACGTGATACTACAGAAAGGGCTTAAGATCACGGGTGGCTGTTGTGCCATAATCCTTCGCCGAGGAGTATGGAGTAAATTTACTTTCATAGTTCACATGTTACTATGCCAATCATGGGCGAGCCGTGTAAGAGAGGTTGTCTATTTATAGCGACGGAACAATGAACTGTGAGTAACGTAATATTAATAACTACAGAAACGTCATTGGAGATCTTATTTGCTACTATTATTATCGTGCCCGTCTTTCCCTTTAGCTCCCCTTTGTGTCCCTGGTTTAATAGACGCAATATGTATTACATCAAATACCATTGTAGGAATAAACGCTTTTCTATATTCTTTTACCAAAGCTGGAGTGCTGGTTATATTTATACACATCGGCCTTTTTTCAGATCATAAAAGATATCGAGTTTGGATTGAACCATATATAGACAATATGTGTACAAAATGCGATCAATGCATAAAAATACGTTGTATCATATACAGGAGCCGCATTATGGTTCGGACAACACGTATCGCTGAATACACGTTTTAAATTATTTAAAAAGGACCGTCTCTGGCCTAGTTTCCCGTCATTTATTTTTTTTCCAGCCTCTCCATACCCATCACATCAAACACTCCTTCTCTCCTTTAATTTCACACAACCCCGTAATATCTCATACGATATCATGAGATTATACATTACTTTATTATTGTTCATTGTATTGGTACGAAGCTTTCCGACAAATCGACACGGTCGAGTCGTGCGCTTGCCCATTGTTTATAATACCCAAATATCAAAGAGATGGGATATGAGGCCTAAGCCGATAACTAACTCACGCAAGTCTGAAGGTTTAATCGAGTCTTTTCCAATCGCTACAAACGACAATGACAATTCAGTAAGTATTCGAATCAAAAGGTATTAATTTACTTACGAGAGAGAGGGAGGGAAGAGAGAAAGAGAGACATGGAGAATAGAGAGATAGGAAGAGAAAAGAGCGGCGATCGGCTCATTTATTAAATAATATTGCATTTATTAATGTCATTCATAGTGGACTGGCGTTTTTGGCATAGGATTATTATACCAAGAATTTCCCCTCCAAATAGATACTGGCTCATCGACTTCATGGATAGTTTCCTCTCGATGTAACAAGGATACTTGCACGGCCGTGAAAAGACTCGATACGTCCAGTTTACCTTCGGCAAAAGTAGACGGATCCACTTCTATTGAATTTGGACTTGGGTTAAAGATAACTGGAAGAGTCGTCAGGGGTAATTAATTAACAAACACGGTCTATATAATTAAACCTTTTTTTCTTCTTATTGTTTGTTTACTCAATTTCTCTTACATTCTCATACAGACGTCTTTTCAGTCGGATATCTTGTAGTAGAAGACCAAGCTTTCGTTGCAGCCGACGATGTTACAGCAGCATTTCCTGGGAGTGGCATACTTGGACTAGGGTTTGGTGCTAAGTCGCCCATTCCAGATAAGCCCAACACGATATTCGAAAACATGGTAGAACAAAATTTAGTGAGTAAATTAATTAAATGACACAAAAATGGTTCAAGGCAGAAAACCAAATAATTGCTAATACGTGCTTAATGTAGATAGCTGAACCTGTCTTTGGCATCCGTTTAGTGCCTGAAGGTGGAGGAGAAATCATGTTTGGTGGCATTGACATATCCGTCATCAAAGGTAAAGGGTTAAATTATGTTTAATATATGTATATACACGAGTTTTGTTTGAAAACATTATTAACACGTGGGTATTTAATATATACGTCGTTTGCCTATAGGTACTATTCAGTATCTTCCCGTTACTTCGTTACTGGATTGGGAAATTCCGGTTAAGGGTATCAAAGTTGCCGACAAGATTATTACACCTCCCGCACATTTTAAAGTAGACACTGGAACGACAATAAACGTAATTCCAGAAAAGTACGCAGAGATTCTTTTTGCTGAAATACCCGGATCAGCGATTGACAATGAAACTGGACTACGTACTGTTCCTTGTGACATTGACGACACGTTTACGACTACTTTCATTATTGGAGATGAAGAATATATCATGCCGGCCGAGGATCTTGCATTTCAGCGTATAGACGATACAGACGATTGCATTGCAGGCACTCAAGGTGGCGAAATTGATACTGATGAATGGGTGCTGGGCGATACATTTATCAAGGTATATTATTGTTTATCTAAAGTAAATATAGCGCATACAAGAAAAAAGAAAAATGTTTGTATATTTATTAATGATGAATTTATGTTCTTGTTTTAGAATTTCTATGTAATATTTAAATTGAGGCCCAGAAGAAGCGTAGGAATAGCTCGACGCACTGATGTATGAGTTTCGCCCATTCACCGAGCACAATTTACTTTTTAGATTAGCCGTTTGGAACATTCTTTTATTGTTACCAGCTAACATACAAAATATATACGATCACCTGACAGGGTCGGGTAAAAATAAACGTGTGTATACATTTATACTGATATAAAAATAGACCACTACACAATTAATTTGAATGTCAATTAATAATTGGCTTTTCCGCGCTTTTTTTCAAGTTAATTAACACGCATGTCAATTAATTATTATTGGTAATTGCTAATCCTTCATTTGTTACGATCGCGCGTATTTCATATAAACTGTATCCTAAGTACAGCGTGGGACAAAAACAAATCGAGATTAAATCATGAAAGAAATTAACAGTGCAATACCGATTATACTCGAAAAACAGTTAAAGAAGTTCAGTATAGAATGCGTTCGTTTTATTATTGATCGCGTACTAACCCAATTATGGAATTTAAGGTCAAAGGCTGTTAGAATGTGCATATAAAACTTCAGGCATGTAATCATACTGTGGGAATTTATGAATAATCCTCTGCACCATTCGTTGTTATAATTGACATATATTGTCTGGAAGTTTATCATCAATGTTGTAAACAAACATAATATATTTATTGTTTGAAATTATCTTACGTTACACATTAAGATGCATCGATAGGTTACACATATCGAGAGAAGAGAGTCTCCATATTCCCTTCTCTCCGAATAAGAAAAAGACATCTGACAGTTTACATAACATAACGGCGGCAGCCAAGTAAATATAAACTCAAAAACGTATAAATGTATATAGTCAATACAGCTTGGGCACATGTCACTCTATCACTAATTAGTTACTACTAATCACTAATCAGAACCAACTCATTCGTGTATAATTAATTACATTGCTTATATCACCACCTAATTGTCAATTCTCCCATTATTGTCCATAAGATATTATTGCTTCTTTTTAGCTAAACATATTTTTTGATTTTCAGAGTCAAATACTGTATAATACTGCTTCAAGAATGGTGCGCCCAGAATATCAAACGGAAGTTCGTCTACTTGTATTGCTCCTATGCAATAATCCTCCACGCCCGCCACAGGCCCCGTTACGAGATCCTTTGCTGGAATACGCCATTTAACGTTGCCAATTTCATATGCTACATACACATGATCAGGCAATTCACAAGGAACTATCCAGTCTCCAGTTTTATGTAACCGTGATCCCGGAATCTCGTTATAGATAGCTTCCGCTGTACCGCACGAAGTATATATGCTGTCTGATCCAGTATCCAAAACTGCTTCCGGTGCTGATCTCTTAATGTCCACTGATCCAACGCAGATCGTAGTATATTCAACGCTCCATTCGTCGTCGCTGGCGGTAGGAACGCAAACCAAATCACCTATGCCGTTGAAAAAAATTCGTCAGAAAGATGATGACAAAAAAAAGTGTGTGTGTTTTTTTTTTTAACTTTTGCGGGGAACCAACTCACCTTCAATCTTGGAATAATCGATACCGCCAAACAGAAGCTCACCACCACCGCCATCTGCAAAGCTCTTCAGATCGAGGGAGAACATGTTGCTTTTAATCTATATTGATATGATGAGAGTTGACATGTATGAATCAGCCGATCCGAAACCAACGTAAATTGTACTTTGATTTATATGTAATGTTTAACTAACCAGCTTTTGTTTGAACATTGTAGCCGTTGGAGTCGCGAGGAAAGATGGATTGGTGTTTTTGTCTCGTCCGAGACCTACGATGCCATCGAAATCTATTTGTCTATTGACCAGGTTGGTTGTTGTGCCAATTTGCTGTTTGTCGATTCTGATCCCGGCGATTTCTACTATATCACTTCCAATTTGGTATGCGATTCTATCAAGGAACGCGAACGGGATATCAGCAACAACAAGTCACAGATAACAAGACACTTGAATCGGATAGACCAACTTTGTAATCAGTGAGATAACTCACCCGGTTCCGCCTCCGTATGTCATGTCAAAGACACGATTTCCCGCCGGTTCAAAGCTCGTTGATATGAACTGATTGAAGCGATTAGTTCCTTTGAAATTAAGGAAACATTCATCCGTTCCGCAAGACTTGGAGTAGGCCCAGACATTGGATGACCCAGTGTCTATGAGCATGTTTGACTTTTGCGGAGGTGTACCCAGACTTACTTCGGCCCACCACTAGGAAATAGGTGTACATGGAAAATATTAACCGCTCACGCATAATTAAAGAATTGCAAAAAATTCCACGTATTAAAATCTAATTACATAAACATCATGTTTAAAAGTATGCAGGTTGCCTTGATCTCGTTTCTCAATTGATCTTTTCGTATATTTCAGTGGTAAGGATATAACGCCGTGAGGAGAGGCGCTTATTATAGGCACTATGGATAGCAGCAGTATAACTACGACGAGTTTCATATTTTTTATGATTTGGTTGATTGGTTTGTAATCCTAGCTGGCAAACGACACTTTTTTAAAAAACAGAAGGTATTGGGTATTGTAACCAGTTGAGGGAGTCTGCGGACATGCAACACACTAATTGTTGATATTAAGGAAGACACACCTTTTTAAATACGGGCTGTCATTATAAAATGTTAATAGATATATGGTTTGGGGGGGCGTGATGAATTATGCAAAAATGGGCTGAATATTAACAAACGCATCTTATTGACGGAAATGGGGGCAAATGGAAGAGTGACATTGATCTTCTGAGAAGGATCTCGAATAATACGGATTAGGTTCACATTCTCATTGTTGAAGTGCGCGGAGTATGCGGACAAGTATAATGACTATATTTAGACGCGCAAACTTCGACTTTTTTTTGCTATTAATAGTAGCTAATTATAACGAGTGCTTACGTTGATGCACCTTTTCCCCTCAAAAACCAGAAGCATAAAAAGGTAATAATACCAAACTTAATACAATAAAGGGATTATTCGTTGGAAAATTCTATAAAGTTCTTGGCGATCATCAATGAGACAAGGAATTTCGAGGGTTTTTAAGGGGCAGCGGCGTGGTTTTTGGTAAAAAGTGAATGAACATAATAACGATAATAATAGCTACAGTTTATTTCGATCGAGAGATCGGCCTACAAGTATTACCAGGTTGCCGGTTCGGTTAGTTGAACATTCAGACCTTATCTTATTACGGCTAAGACACTGCACTCCTATTTTTTGTTTACACAGCCTCATCAATCACCTACCAACGTTAAATGAGAATTATGATATAAATAGAAGTCAATCGGGCTGCAACTCCATTTGGTGGGCGTTGCACATATGTAGAATGGGGAGCGTGTGATGACACTTTAGGGTGCTACCAGAAAAAGGTAATGAAAGGGCGAATATATACTGCTTTATACATATCTTTCGCTTAAAGCAAGATTAGTCGTTCATCTAACTTTAGCCACAGATATTATATAAATAAGGACACACCCCTTTATTTTATTAACTGTGTGGTTCATGGTCTTCTCTTTTAAAACGTGAAAAAAATAAAGACAATTTACCAATCCTCCTCCACCAAATCAAGTCATCATCGTTAGACATACGACTCTATAATAAATATACTCGCTTACTCGAACACTCACGTTGTTATAGACCTTATACACCAGTCAATATACTACGATGAAATCAACGTTGATAAAACTTTTTCGTTGTACGCTTGTACTCGTCCTCATCTTCTCAATCGGTCAATCGCCCGTCTCATCTAAATATGTCTTTGACGGTATCGAATACGAAAAAGTTGGCGGACAAGTTCTTCAAAAACGCAACTCACCCAAACCAAAGCCAGTTGTAAGTAAATGTCAGTGTACACAGGCTATCGCAGAGTTTGATTCGGATGGCATAGTCGGTTCGGTCCAGTTTGTACAGAATCCCTGTGGCCAAACGACTTTGACTGGTACTTTTCTGAGCGGGTTCAAGAACACGGCAGCCGATTACAAGTTCGAGATTGTCAATCCCAAGGCAGGAGATTGCAATGTTGGCCGCAATGAAACTATCGCAAACATAACCCCGTTGATCGACTTTAAGTTCTATAAGGGTGGATTAAAGACATGGACAGCAACTACATCAAACTTTAGTCTCAACTGTAACGAGAAAGGTGCCGGTCCAAATGTGCTCAATCAGCGTTTGTACATATATGTAAATGGTGACAGAACTGGTTCGGGTACAGTGAAAAAGAGAGGAGGAGGACATCGACGATAATCGTTGCGGTAAAAACCGGATGACGTGGTCACACCCGTCAGCTCATTTGTAGAATACCAACAAGCGAACATTTAAAACTATTTTGCTTTAGTAGTATATCTAATAATTTACATTGAATTTGATAGAATGTCATTTTTGTATCGACCATAATAAATTTCTTATGAATTCATGGAACAGATATATCATGTATTTACAGTAGTATGCTTAAATTGTTGAGCGATACATGCTCGGTATAATAGGGCTCGCATGTAAAACGCATGAGTTTACACTAACTATTACGATTGACTATTGCTATTTTCTCCAACGGGAGATTCGAAAATCGTCGACCAAATTGGCAAGACTTGAATTTATCCGTGTAGGGACAAGTGACGAATATGAAAAAAAGTACATTATTAAATAGATGCCAACTTTATATGTCATTCTTTTTGCTCTTTACTAGACCAAAAACACGAATCCCTGCATCTGTGTGTATCTCGTGGCATACTATATCTGATATTTGGGCATTCTCTACCAGACAAGTTCCGGTAAGATGGAACGTGAAGTAACGTTACAAGGTTAATTTCGTATTATGTAGGACACAGGCTTTTCCTTAATGGGAGAGTACACAATCAAACTATATTCCAAAAAGAAACCTTTTAAGCATTCAATTAATATCGATATAAACAAATTTCGATAAGCCCAATTTTTTGTTAAACAAGTCAAAACTTATTGGGAGCTCAGAAAACTGGGCATACAAAAGTAGCAATCATCTAAGCCAAAGTGTTTCATCCAGACGCAATTTTATGGTTTAAATAAACGTGCTAATAAATGACTTGACCGTTTCAAGTAACAAAGACATTTTACCAATAAAAGATGTGCTGATAGAATACCAATTACTTTTACTATTGCAAGTGTTATAATTTATATGTTAGCCTTTTTTTTTATCAAAATGGATGACGACGTGTTTTACGTAATAACTTTAATTTTATTACTCTCCACGAAATGTTGCAATCCAATTTGTCAATCTTGTCAAAAGCCAATTTTTTAAGAGTGCAAATCTGTAGTTTCTTTAACCCAATCCTGTTTCAAGAGTTTATCGTAATACTCGGATAAATATTATCGTGTTGCAACATAAGATTACAAACCAGTTGTTTCCCTCTTACTTCTTTGAAAACAAAGACTTGTAGCATATGGCATTTCAGTTGTTTTTCTACCGGCTGTCATATTCTGTTAGAGATGTGTTGAGACTATTTTCAATACCATAAATTTTCACTGGTTTTCCATAATTATCAATATTGTAAAGTCGGAATTGTTTACGTAAAAGATCGGATATTTTGTTTTGATAATAAAGTTTAATTGGGGATACTTCAACAATTACAAATTCAAAACAAACGATGTTTGGTTCATTTTGACCCCATGACCAAACATTTTCTTGAACTCAAAAAAGTAAGCACCTTGCAAACTTTTTTAACGTCTAAGGGAACTATCGCATATTATGTTCGGTACACATTGAGCAAAGTGCAAATTTTATTTTGACGTTGTTTAGGTTGTTTATACCCTGCGATTCTTCACGTAGAAACAAACCTGCATCCCATGTCTCGTGTGATGACGAGTCATGCTCAGTTTGCTATCAGGCCTTTTACGTATTGCTTCAGTTTGTATACCAAACGAATGACCTAAGATAATAATATTACCCGTTAATCAAATCGGTAAAACATATTGTGTTAACTCACTGTGACGAGCGGTAACATCAATGCTCGCTATCGTATTTGTTTACAAAGGGCAGAATAAAATCACAAGCAAGCTGCCAAGTTGAGTATTTACCGTTAGGTATTTCGACATGGCAAACATCCATCTCATGAGCTCAATTGTAACATTAATATAATGGGTTGTATGTTACAGACATCCCATATCCACACACAGCGTCGTGATCTACGGACTTGCCACTGCGCGATGCCAACAAAGCTTCTCATGCGTAATTGGCTGGCTGTTCATATGGTAGGCTCTTCTATAATGTCTAATATAGGCTGGCATGAGAAATCCGATTATTATCATACGCAGATTAATCATCATCTTTGCATACTTTTCCGTATTCGCATAACCCATGCAGACAACCACCTGATATTATCGAAATCAATTTTACGCTTCCAAGAAGAAGTAAGACATTGACGACCAATTGCCGTGCTCCATAGCCGTGTCACTCTGAGTAATTGAATCGCGAACGCGCAAGCCTATTCTGATAAACCGTGGCTATGTAAAGTCTATTTTCTTCCAATGCCAACCGTGTGCACATGTTGCAGTTTGGCTCTCGGATTATGGCTGTACTCAACATTTGACATCATTGATGGGGGCGAACTGGAATATCATCACCTTTGATCATGGATGTGACGTAGAGCAATCGTACAATCGGCTGGATCGTTCATAGTATTCTGCGTTCTTATCAATTCTGACTGCCACTCCCTTTTACATATCCACCTGTACATTCCACTACGAATTGACATTACTGTAACGTCTATTGATTCTGATCCAAGACTAATAATCACATCTTTGGACCATCTCGGTAGTATTGCAGAGGGTTTGATCACTGCATGTATTGTTATGATAATATTCAGTATTTTAGGTAAGATATTACTTGTCTACAATTTTTGGCAAATTGTACGTATGTATATTTTCTTGCAGGGCCCGAATTCTGGAAAATATGAATTTTTCGGCTCGAGTGCTCCAGGTTTTTACAAGGCTATACCTTGATGGATTTGATTTTTGCTTTCATAACTATCATGGTCTTGACTTGCCTTTGCAACCAGGTAAGATTATCTATAGGGATTCAAATTTTGTTGCGGTCTACAGACATAGTTAACCTCTTTCATTCGAATACGTAACTCCTAGAACGTGTATCAAGCATGCTGACATCAGGAACGCCCATTTTAGCCATTCTATCTCAACATGTATCATTTGCGTCTATGCTGTTAGTGGATATCTATGCTATCATCACTATGCTGAGTATATTAGAAAATCAGCTATTAACAACTGGTATCGTGTTCGAGAAAAGACACATAGCCACAAAGATTATATTGGCACGTGTGACAAAGACACGTTTCCCATGTTTACAATGCAATTGATCTCGTTGTTTGTTGGCGCATTGTTAGCCAACGTGTTCATATGTAAGTAGTTTGCTTTTCTAATAGGGCATACTATCGAGAACATTTCAATCTCAACATAGTCCTCCCCCCCGAAATTAGTGATCCAATCCTAACGCCCAAGATCGCGCATTATTGCCTTTTGAGCTATTTCGTCTTTGTATTGATTGCATACATTTACTGGGCAGTTCATATCTAAAGATAAGATGTCTTCATATTCCATATAGGCAACCAGGTATGAAACTTTCAAATATCTTTCAAATGGTATTATAATTACAATCCGTTTAAATGTTAAAAGCTTACTTTCTTTCAAGGAACAGAGTGAAGATGACGAAGCGGAGATTTCTTAGATATTTCTGCTGCTACCAACATGAGTTTTATTCCTTACATTCATGCAAAATGACAATCATTAGTTTAGACAATGCTTGTGATATCTTCGTTTTCAACAATCACCATTAAGTAGAAAATGATTCAACCCTTTTCGCCTATTCATTTATTCATGTCGAATAATCGTATTTAGCTATAGTTTTCTTACGTTACTCTGTTTTCATTGTTCATGTAACCTATTCATTATTATCTTAGAACAAGTAAAGTCTAATCTATATTTATATACGATAGAGGGATACATTGCTCTTGGTCTTGTATACTGAGCAATAACTTAAGATTGGGACAACAGTAGATGTGGCGTTCTGCGTAAAACCAGTGTAAAAGACGTTCACTTGTGCGTGCAAAACGTTGTGATTGTTGTCGACGTGGATCACGAGACTAAGTAATATTAACTCTGCCCTATATAATTAAGTAATATTCTCCCTCGACATCTATTTTAATGCGCAAAGAAATTATTCGCTTTCGCCTCTGTTTGTGCTTTGCTTCGATATTTTTTTTAACAAGTATAGCTCCCTCAATTTCAAGCAAATTGCTTAAAATTTTTTTTCTTTTGTAGCGCTGAATCTAAACTTTTAGAAAAAACTTTTAAACTAATTGAAAACATTGTCTGAAATGCCACGAGCTGGAGAATTGTCTGATTTTGAACGTGGATTGATTGTCGGTCTACACTTGGGGGAAAAGCATGCGTATCAGGAGATAGCTGCTATAGTCAAACGTTCAAAAGGAGCTGTTCAAGGTGTAATTGAACGATATATGGATGAAAGGGTCATTAC